TATAAAAATAAATTTGTAGATGTTATAAAAATAAATTTGTAGATGTCTTATTTATTGCAAAACTAACGTGGAGGGTAATTAGAAACTAACGTGGAGGGTAATTAGAGAAATGTTAGACAAAATGTTTATATAGTTATAACCATAACCGTATTATTATATTTATATATTTTTAACCTCAAATGTATACATGAATCAATATTATATTATACCGACATTTTTTTTAATATTATATAAATATAATTTAATTGATCAAATTAATTATTATCAATGATGGCAATATAATAGGAATTTGCATTGCAATCGTTTCTTTATACAAGATGAACTAACAACTTGAAGGTAAAAATAGTAAGATACCTGCGGTGCACATTATGCTTTATACGTATGAATTCTTTATTAACATATACACGCCGGAATTGTATGACAGTTATACATGAGTATAATAATAGTTAATTGTAAATTAATCGCCGCGCTCGTGAATAGATTCTAAAAAAACAGTGTTTGGAATCAATTATAATTAATACGCATATCTATGTTCCGTTGATTTTTCAATTTGTCGCCGTTCGCCATTCGAATTAGAAAATTATAACAACCATTAAAGTATACCGCAATATACGAATAAACATCTTTGTATCTATCTTGGAAAAAAAAAAAAAATCGTATACGTACGCGACGACAATAATCGCATTATATTGCAATTCGAAGGGAACGCGTTGGCCGCATTAAAAATGTATTTTGGACGGTCGACTGGATAGCGCTCGCAATAATATTTTTGGCATGGTTTGAATACACGTATAATTGGAACACAGTATTCGATTAAACTTGTATGTACGTACCGAACCGCATAAATTGTAAATGTATATTATATATGTATAAATACGTAGTACGTCATATACTTCACGCTTTTAAATGATAAAATATGCGATTTTTGACAGGCTAGAGTACGGGCGGTGCACGCACTTGATTCCGAAGAACTAGAAAAAAATTTTGAAAAAAATGTAATCGCGTGAATTGGAAAACGTGTTAAACTAAAAGTCGAGTAGATCAATTGTATTTTTGGTTGTTCAAACCGTACCTGTACCTATGCAATATTATTTACCTCGTTGTAATAGACACAATATCATTGTTACGGAAACTATGTACATATTGTATTTTTTATCTTTCTTATACGTGTTATTGAGTCCTACGATTAGTGTGATTGGCTCTCCGAAGCATTTCCCTGTTGTAGATTTTATTAGTTCGTTTTATTTTTCCGGATTATTTCGAATTCGTTATGCGTTATACTCGTTATACCCGGACAGGAATCGTTATATTTGAGAGTAAACCTGCAAAACACCCATTGGACGGACGTCAATGGACACTATTACGAGGACGTGTTATTCACGGGTTAACCGCGTGTGCTGTTAAAATTGAAATATCGAAAAAACCAACACGAATAATGTTCATCCCTTGAAGTTTCGTGGTTAATTATAATACGCGTGT